TGGGGGATTGAACCGCGGTCCCTGTGCTTTGCTAAGCTTGTTCTAAGTAGGTGCTTTAGACCACTGAGCCATCTCACCAGCCCCTGGAGCTATTTTCTTAATCTCATTGTATGGTAATTGTTCATTGCTAGTGTACGGAAATGCAGTTCACTTCTGTATATTCATCTTCCATCCCACAACCTTACTGAATTTATTTATTTATTACTTCTATTTTGGTGGATTCCTCAGAATTTTCTATGTAAATGCTACGGCTTGAGTATGTGCTAGAAAGCTAATCCTCAGTGCATCAGTGCTGAAAAGTAAGATCTTCAAAAGGTGACTAGGCCATGAGGTCTCCGCCCTGATAAACAGATTAATGCAGTTACTGCAAGAGTAGCTTAGTTATCTCAGGATGACTTTCAGCCCCTCCCCTGTTCTGCCTTGTACCATGTGATGACACAACACAACAGGTCCTCACTACATCAACTCCTTAACTGTGGACTTGTTGGCCTCCAAAACCATGCACATAAAATGTTATAAATACTGAGGCTGATATTTTATTCTGGTTGTCTTTAATTTCTTGAGTAATTCTTTGAGTATAAGGTAAAACAGAAGTGTACTACCATGATCAACCAGAAGAGTTTTTACTTCTGTTCTTAATTTTATTATTGATTGACTGTCTTTTTGAGACAGGGTCTCACTATGCAGTTCAGGTTGTCCCTGAGCTCACTTTTGCCCAGGCTGGCCTTGAACTTACAATAATCCTCCTGCCTCAGCCTCACAGTGCTGGGATTATACCTGGCTCTTTTTCTTTCCTTCTTTTTTTAATCTTGTATTTATTTCTTTGGTACAGGGTCTCACTATGCAACTTGGACTCCTAGTGATCCTCCTGTCTCAGCCTCCCCAGTGCTAGGATTACAGGTATGGACCACCACACCCAGTTTCAGTGGCCAGCATGGTGAGCCCAGAGTTCTAGGGGCTAGCATGGTATGCGGTACCAAGGATCAAACCTGGGTCCTTGCACACTTGCCAGGCAGGCGCTTAGACTGCTGAGCTATCTCCCCAGCCCACACCTGGTTTGTTCTTAATTTTAAACATAGTCTTAGTGATTTCATTATCTGAAATGCTTTAGCGATTTAATATTGTTTACTGCATCTGCTGCTATTTGCTAATAATGTATTTCTTCAGCCTTTTCTTGGTTTTCAGTTGTGAATTCTTTAGGGTTTATTGTCACACATAGGAGAGTTCAAAGGCAAAAAGTATTGTTGTGGCTTAGTTAAGTGTTCCCTCAGGGTTCTGTGCAAAGACTTGGATAAGCGCCTGTGTGTGGCACTACCGATAGGTGGCAAAATCTTGTAAGGAGGAACCCACTGGGATAAAGCTAGATCAGTGGGCCTAGGCCTACAAAGGGGGCAGCAAGATTGTTTCATTTTCTGTCTCTCACTTCTTTTACCACACAGTCACCAAGTTTGGCCAATTCTACTCCACAAGTGTTTCAAATTCACTCCAAAGATTTCCATACCCCATACAAAATCATCTAGATGACTTCACTTTTTTTTTTTTTTTTTTTTTTGAGGAGGGTTTAACCAGGCATTGAATTCAAATGCTTTCTATCAATTAGGTGTACTACCTCCAGTTTTCCATTCATTGATTACTGGGCATCTATTAGGAGATGGCACTGTGCTGAGTCCCAAGATCACAAATAACACTTGGGTCATGCCCTTAAATAAAATGGCATTTTACCAAGATGAGGTAAGTACTTTAAGAGGGTTCAATAGACAGACATAATCAAAGAGAGATCTAATCCAGTCTTGAGGTTGAGAAAGGATAATCAGAGAAGCTTCTTTCAAGTATGTGCAGGAATTATTGTACAATGTAGAACAAAGACCCAGAATTAGGAGGCTAAAAAAGGGAACACAAAATAGTTCAATTCTTAATCTGTACTCCTGCTTCATATTAAGTATTCTAAGCTAACAAGAAAACTTAAAATTTTGCCAGAAAGTAAATCTAAAATCATCAACACAGCGAGCAAACCAACTGAACCCTTCACAATCTGGCTCCAGTTGGCCCTTCTTTTTTCGATACCAGGGAATGAACTCAGGGACCTTGTACTTGCCAGGCAAGCACTTATTCCACTGAGCTACCTCCCTGGCCCCAAGCTGGCCTCTCTTTACACTTCCCTCTTATACATGACACGCCCCTTTAGTTTGGTAATGAGGTTTACAGGGCTTAATAAAATGAATACTGACCTATAAGATGGGCGCCGTGCTAGGATCCCGTGAGCTTTCTGTGAGGAGCCTATGCTGTCAGATGAGTCCTGAGACTCTTCACTTTCAGATAAAGATGATACCTAAAAAAAAGCAAAACTGGTTTTAATATGAGAAAGACTACAGATGGAAAATAATTGAGTTTTTACTTTAGAAAATTATGTCTCCTGTAACACAAATTTACCTGTACATTAATTCTAAGGTTTAGAATAAATTAAAATGAAAGTTTATTTTAGGACTGCAAACTAATTAAAGGAACATACAATATATAGGAGGCTCAGAATTAAGAATACAATAACACTATTCTACTGCACTTAAAAAGACTAATCACTGGGGCTGGGGAGATGGCTCAGTAGAATAAGTGCTTTTATACCCAGTTCCGCCAAAGAAAAAAAGACTAATCACTGACCTCAATCTCCACTTGTGGGCCAGGGACATAGCTCAGTGGCATAGGCACCTGCCTAGCAAGTGCAAGGTCCCAAGTTCGATCTCTGGTACTGCAAAAAAAAAAAAAAAAAAAAAAAAAAAGAAAGAAAGAAAGAAAACAAAACAAAACAGAAAATTGAAAGAAAAAAACCCTCCACTTTTTAGTTCTAAACTGGTACAGAGTGCTCAAAGATTTTTCGTTGGGTATGGTGGCACATGCCTGTAATCCCAACTACTCAGTAGGTTGAGGAAAGAGGATCACTTGATCTCAAAATTTGAAGACCAACCTGAGCAACATAGTGAGACACCATCTAAAAAAATGAAAAAAGTATCTTTTTTCTTTTTTAAATCACTGATTCTCTGGTTGAGGAGATAGCTCAGTGGCATAAGTACCTGCTTGGCAAGTGCAATGTCCCAAGTTTGAACCATGGTACTGGGAAAACAAAAAAAAAAAGTTCCTTAAATCACTGATGCTACCTGATTTGGATTTTGAACACGGCGTTAAGTTTGAAAAACTTATTAGCTATCTAACTGCCCACCCTGAGGAGGTTGCCAAATACACAAACCTGAAGCCAAGGAAGAGGTCTGTGCTAGACGTACTAATTTGAAGTATGTCTCTTTGCAAACCCTAAAGCCGTGAGACAAACTCAGCATAGGCATGTACATGAAGAAGAAAATCAGGAACTCAGGAAAGCTCCAACCTTAAAGAGATTAGCTTGAAACTGTACTTCCAATTTGATATGAAACTGTCTCATTGCTATCTGTTTATCAATAAAACTTTGAAAAAAAAAAAAAAAAAAGAGATTAGCAAGAGTGAAACCAGGCCAGGGAGATGGCTCAGTAGAATAAGTGCAAGGGCCTGAGTTCAATTCCCAATGCTGCCAAAAAAATATTAATAAATAAGTAAGAGTGAAACCAGCAAATAAGACTAAGAAGGAGTCCTTAGTAAGGACAAAAAATCAAATGATTTAGAGTTGTCATACATAGGAGAGTTCACAGGCTAGTTTTTATCTTGGAAAAACTAGCGATGGCAACATACTGAGAAAGAGCTATGACCTATGTGAAATGCTGCTTATAGGCAAAGTAAAACAAGGACTGAAAACTGATCATTTTACTTGGCAAGACGGAGGTGACTGACCAGGGCAGGTGAAAATACATACAATTTAAAGATCTGCAACAATCAACTTTACCTCATTTCACAATTAAGTGAGCTAACATGTACATGCATGCAAAGCACTTAGCACATGGTACTCTAAATATGGCTAACTTTGGTGTGCTACTGAGGACTGAACCCAGGGGAATGCTGAGCTACATCCCCTTGACCTTCTTATTTCATAAATTTTTTTTAAATTTTATTTATTTATTTATGTGTGTGTGGCCAACTCAGCCCACCAGGGGGCGGGGCTGGCTGGCATGTGGTGCTGGGGGATTGAACTGCGGTCCCAGTGCTTTGCTAAGCTTGTTCTAAGTAGGTGCTTTAGACCACTGAGCCATCTCACCAGCCCAACCTCCTTATTTTAAGACAGCATCTCCCTAAGTTACCCAGGCTGGCCCAGAGCTTCTGATTCTCTTGCCTTGCTTCAGCCTCCAGAGTAGCTAGGATTACAGGTATGCACTAGCACACTTGGCATTAACTATTCTTGGGGGGACCGGGGAGATGGCTCAGGAGAATAAGCGCTTCCCTGGCAAGCGCAAGGGCCTGAGTTCAATCCCCAGTTCCGCAAAAAACAAAAACAAAAACAACCTATTCTTAACAACTAATACTTTAAAATTACATCAGCACAAAAGGCAAGTGTTGTTTTTTGGTTTTTGGTTTTTTTTGTAGAACCAGGGATTGAACTCAGGCCCTTGCGCTTGCCAGGGAAGCGCTTATTCCACTTTGCCATCTCCCCGGCCCCAAGGCAAGTTTTAAGTTATAAAATATTTTATAATTAAGAAAACAAATTATTTTCAACTTTTTTTTTTTTTTTTTGCAGAACCAGGAATTGAACTCAGGCCCTTGTACTTGCCAGGGAAGCGCTTAGTCCACTGAGCCATCTCCCCAGCCCCTATTTTCAACTTTTAAAATGTAGTAAATTTCTCAAACTTGTCTAAATTCAAGTTATGATACCTGACTTCATCTTCATATTTTGGGGTTTTTTTTTGGTAGAGCCGGGGACTGAACTGAGGCCCTTGCTCCTGCCAAGGAAGTGCTTATTCCACTGAGCCATCTCCCCAACCCTGGTGTTTCTGTTTTTGAAAGAGGGTATCATTATTAGCCTGGACTGGTCTTGAACTTGCTATCCTGCCTTGGCCTTCTTAGTGCTGGGATTATAAGCATGCATTACACCATGTCCAGCTTCATCTCATTTAAAAAAAAATCCAACCATGCTTCTTCAAGAAGGAATAGAAGAAATTAGTTTTCTACATGATTACTATCTGCAAAAAAGTTTAGACTATTTTGATTTGTCATTAAATCTCCAGAGACTTGTCATACATATTTATTCTCTCTTTCAGAAATGAGTTCTACTTTTGATAGGAAAGCATTAGTGGGCCAGGGATATAGCTCAGCAGGACAGCACTTGCCTGGCAAGCATAAGATCCTGAGTTCGGGGCCAGGAATATAGCTCAGTAGAATAAGTACCTGCCTGGCAAACACAGGGTCCTGAGTTCAATCCCCAGTACCGTTAAACAAAACAAAAAACAAAAAAAAAAAAAAAGAAAGAAAAAGGAAAGAAAAAGAAAAAAAAAGTTCCTGAGTTCGATTCCCAGTACCGAAATAAATAAAGCATTAGTCACAACCCAATAATAAAGAACAGAATTTTTAAAAAATATCCTTCAAGCATCTTTTGTAATCTAAACCATCAGTGATCTTCACAGCTTGTCCCTAAATTTACTCCAATGTCTCTCACTTGAAATAAGCTCAAGAAAGAAAATAATTTGTAAACTACAAGATTAATTGTAACCAAGATCAAATATGTCTTTTAGCGACAACAGCAGCAAATAAAAATTCCAAGACCCATGCATGCAGCTGCCACCCTACATATGAGATTATCAAATAAGATGCATGCTAGAGCAGACAGGCTCCCCAGTCACTACCTAGTCAGGAAAAGATGAGGTACTACAATTCCTCTTTGCTTTCCAGATAGCTGCTTCTAAAAATGACAGAGAACCAAAAGCATTCTGGGACTCACAGGAACCAAAAATAAAATGGGAAGAACTGGAAAGATAAGAAATCCAGGAGCAGTTAATTGATTGGATTCTCACCCTAATTATATATGCCAATACCCGTGAATCAAGCAACTGCACGGATAGCTATGTGTAACAGAAGGGTCACGCTTGGAATGCCTCTCATTCTGATCTTCTAAATACATACTTCTTGTCATGACATACCAATTATTACCATACTGTCAAGTAAAAGTTTTTTTTTTTGTTGTTTTTCCTTAAAGGGTGATAAATGAAAAAAAGACACAAGAAAAAGAAAAAAAATGCCACAGGACTGTACTGCTACAATGCTGTATATGGTTAGATTTCTAAATTTTTGTGTAAAAATAGGTTTTTATTCATTTTTTAAATTATTTTTTTCTTCATATTCTGTAAGGACTTAAAGTTCAACCTATCAATACTTGATGGAAAACACCTGTTCCATGTTATGCCTAAGATGTTTGATATTTAGACAGATAGGGTAAACTACACTGCATATGTTGCCAGGTAATAATAAGCTTCTGTTCTGGAGGGCTAACAACCTAAGTTTGCAAATCAAAAATTGCAGAAAAGGAAGGGCTGCAAGGTCAGCCAACATTCTGGCCCTAGCCTTTCAAGGTCCGTGAAGACTCAGGACATAGGAGTACCTGTATTGTAACACCATGTAACTCAGTTGTGCCCCAAATTTTCTGATCAAGGAGATTATGGAGCCACAGAGGAATGTGATCAATGATGTATAGTGTGCCTAAGGAGAGTCACATGGAGAGAAAACATTCTCTCAGGCTTTAAAAAAAAAAAGAAAAGAAATCCAGAGTAGCCCTTTCTTCCCTAAAGTTGTAGGTGCCAATATGAAAGCATACAAATATAAGCAAGAATTATTGTGCCCTTTACTGTGAGAAAACTCTCTGATTTGATCTGCACAAAGCATAAGCTAGATGGTTACTTCTTTTGCTAATACTTTCAAACCATTACCCTTGCTTTGGAATTCCCTTCATGAAACCTTTCACTGAGATAAAAGGATTCTTCCCTGAAGAATGTTTGGTCTCAAATTGTTAGCATAACCTGTCAAACCTGTTGTAATTTTGCTGGGCATTACATATATGTAATCTGAAATTTTAATGCTTTTCACTTAGTTTCATTGAATCTATAGTCTAATTTCTAGGACAACTTTATTAGCATGGTTTGTAATACCATAACTATAACAACTTTATACCACTCGGTATAAAGTCCCCAATCTCAACCACTATCTTTGAATATCTGTACCGTTTGCACATGTGGTGGGTGAATTACGGAAGACTGAGCTGTCTGGATGACCCCCTGAACCTGTATTTGCTCTCCAGGAAGAGGTACAACTGTCACTGGCGCAGATCCTCTTAATGACATCTAAGAACAAATAAAAATTAAATTAACAAAATATGTCTTGTATCTATGTGCATAAGACAGCTGAGTTAACACTGGAAAACACATTTCAAAA